TTTGTTTTCATGGACCTCATAAAGGCTCTGCAGCATAATCGCAGAACTTGTCTTGATGGATAGTTCAAGCCATTTCCATGGCCTATGAACTCGCAGGGAAAACGCCTCCTGATACCATTAAGGCCCACTCCACAAGAGCTATGGCTACCTCCACTGCATTCCAGCGCAGTGTGGACATTTCCAACATCTGTCGGGCGGCCACATGGTCCACCTTCTGGCTGGATGTTCGAGCAAAGAATGATGCCTGGTTCAGGAGAGCTATATTGACATCTTTTCTTCAGTGACGGTCCACTAACTGGTAAGTGAGCTTGCTAGTCACCCATTTGTGATGTGAACTTCCCATATGTGAACTTCCTCACATCTGCCATGAAGCTACATGGTCTACTCCGTTGACCTCCATGAGGCATTACCGTCTTAATGTCAGGGCAAAAAATGATGCTGCTTTTGGCAGAGATGTATTGACTTCCTTTCTACCGTGATGTCCCACCATCTGGTAAGTGAGCTTGTCAGTCACCCAATTGTGTGCATTCACAGAAGCCACGAAGAAGAAAGAGAGGTTACTTACCTGTAACCATGGATCTTTGAGTGGTCCTCTGAATCCACACATCCCACCCATCCTCCCCTCCGTCACTTCGTTGTCTATCTAACCTTGTTGACAGTGGTGGACTTTGGGAACTGAGAGGACCTTGGGGAGGTGGAGCATGCACCCCACGGGGGAACATCCTTCTAATCACATGTCTTTAAGCTCTAGAAACTTCTGAGAGGTCCTGCGCAGGCGCAGAACAACCCATTTGTGTGGATTCACAGAGGACCACTCGAAGAACCATGGTTACAGGTAAGTAACCTCTCTGTTTGCTTTATCTACACACTTGTTACTAAAACAGGAAACCATGTGGAAAGCCCTTTGTACAAAATGACTATTTACTGCTTTAAGTCATTTTAATCATGTCAGTAGTACTCTTTGCAATAATTCAAATGACTCAAGCAACATCAGGGACCACCTCATACACAGTACCCGTGTGTTTATGTATTGGTGGCAGCCAGGCAAATAAAGTCGTGTGTCTGAGGGGTTTCTTTCTGATTTTTAAGTGCTATTCTCCGTGAAAACATGAAAGTGCAGCAAATATTTGTTAACTGAATGCACAATTTAAATATATAATGTTAAAATTTTGGGCTCTACCCCCACAGAGGAAAGAGAGTGTCTCCGAGCCATGGACATTGATGCCACAAGAACTTACAATACAGATGAGGCAGAGGATGAGGATTGCACAACATCTGCCTATTTTCAAAACAGAGGAAATAAGGGAAGAAAAAGAAAAAAGCCACAGTTCTTCAGAGAATCAAAAAAGAAAAAATGTGTGTTTGGGGGCGAGCAGGCTCATTCTAATGGGTATGTTTTCTGATCCTTCATAAAGCTTGTATGACCAGTTTGCTGGCTACTGGTGGGAATAGAAAGCTCAGTGAGTTAGGTGTCTGGCTGCAGCTCCCCCACTGTGTATCCCAGAAGAGCCAGCCTGTTTGATCTTGAGCAAAAGCTGCACAGTGCCAGAGCAGCCCCAGGAGAAGGTAATGGGAAACTACTCCTGAGTACTCTCTAACTAGAAACCCTAAACAGGGTCACTATAAGTCAAGAATTGGCTTGATGGCTCATAATTACTTTAAATGGGAATAGAACCCTCATAAAGTGGTAATTAAGCATTCTTAATTACTGCATTATAAAAAGGTCCTTGTATGGAGTGAGCAGTAGGATTGGGAAGAGTACTAGCATGAAAGCAGCATAGAATTATTCATTTTTAAATAATCTCTTGAAATGATTATGGGAAGAATTGTTAATGCCACATCTTTTAGGTATCTTTGTATAAGTGAGTAATTCCTGTTTGTGCCTAGCATGACAAATAAAATGAATGAAATTCTTGGGAGCATTTCAAACACTCAAAAGAGAAGAATGCAGTGCCAAGGGATTTGCATTTTTTTCTCCCACAATGAAGGAGAGAACATAAAGAGAAACTGAACTTATTTGGTAGTTATCAGTAGAATCATAGAATCACAGAGTTGGAAGAGACCATGGGGGCCATCGAGTCCAACCCCCCTGCCATGCAGGAACTCCATCAAAGCACTCTCGACAGATGGCTATCCAGCCTCTGCTTAAAAACTTCCAAAGAAGGAGATTCCACCACACTCCAAGGCAGCAGATTCCACTGCCGACCAGCTCTGACCGTCAGGAAGTTCTTCCTGAGATTCAGGTGGAATCTCTTTTCCTGTAGTTTGAAACCATTGCTCCTTGTCCTAGTGTCTGGAGCCGTGGAAAACAAACCTGTCCCTTCCTCGACATGACATCCCTTCAAATATTTAAACATGGCTATCATGTCCTCTCTTAACCTTTTTTGTAAGGCTAAACATTCCCAGCTCCCCAAGCCGCTCCTCATAGGACATGGCTTCCATTTGGTCACTCTCCTCTGGACACGTTTCAGGTTGTCAACACCCTTCTTGAATTGAGGACTGGACACAATACTCCAGGTGAGGTCTGACCAAAGCAGAATAAGAGTAGTACTATCACTTCCCTTGATTTAGACACTATACTATTGATGCAACCAAGAATTGCATTGGCTTTCTTGGCAGCCGCATCACACTGCTGACTCACGTCCAGCTTGTGGTCTACCAAGACTCCTAGATCCCTTTCACAGGTACTGTTGTCTAGCCAGGTGCCTTCCATCCTATATCCGTGCAGTTCATTTTTTCTGCCTAGGTGTAGGACCTTACATTTCTCCCTGTTGACATTCATTTTGTTAGTTTGGCCCAGGACTCTAATCAGTCAAGGGCATTTTGGATTTTAATCCTGTCCTCTGGGGAATTAGCAACCCCTACAAATTTGGTATCACCTGTAAATTTAATCAGCATACTTTCTATTCCTTCATCCAAGTCATTGATAAAGATGTTGAATAGCACAGGGCCCAGAACAGAACCCTGAGGCACCCCATTAGTTACCTCTCTCAAGAATGAAGAGAAGCCAATGGTGAGCACGCTTTGGGTGTGGTCAGTCAACCAATTACAAATCCACCGAACAGTAGCACTGTCTAGCCCACATTTTACTAGCTTCCTTGCAAAAATATCATGGGGAACTTTGTCAAAGGCCTTACTGAAATCAAGATATGCTACATCCACAGCGTTCCTTTCATCTATCAAGCCTGTAACTATATAAAAAAGATCAGATTAATCTGGCATGACTTGTTATTGAGAAACCCATGTTGACTTTAGTGATGGCTTGAGTGACTTTCTAAGTAATAACAAACGTTTTAATGATCTACTCTAGAATTTTTGGGGGAATTGATGCCAGGCTGACTGGGCCATAATTATTTGGGTCTCTCCCCCCCCCCTTTTTGAAGATAGGGACAAGAAAGTCTGTGGGGATTTCTGTTCTCCCAGAATTCTCAAATATTATTGCCAATGGTTCTGAAATTACAGTGGTGCCCCGCATAACGAGTGCTTCGTTTAACGACGAATCCGCATAGCAATGTTTTTTGCGATTGCAAAAGCGATCACATTGCGATGTTTTAGATGGTAAAACATCGCTTTGCGATGATCAGTAAGCGTTTCGCTTACCGATTTTCGCATAGCGATGTTTTAAGAACAGCTGATCGACGGTTCCCAAATGGCCACCGGGTAAATACAATGGCTGCCCGCAGTGTTTTCATGCCCTTTCCTTGCTTACCGGGCAGCGAAAATGGCGGCCGCATGGAGGATTTTCGCAGAACAGTGAGTTGTTTGCCCATAGAAACACATTAAATGTGTTTTAATGCATTCCTATGGGCTCCTTTGTCCCACATAGCAACGAATCCATATCGCTACGTTTTTTTCGGAATGGATTATCGTCGCTATGCGGGGCACCACTGTACTTCTGCCAGTTCTTTTAATATCCTTGGATGTAATTCGTCTGGCCCTGGTACAAATAGAAATTTGATCAAAATTTAGAGCAGTAGTGCTAAGAAGGAACTTGAATCCCATGAGGCTTTTGAGGCTTTTATGTAAGTATATATGTATATTTACATAAATACAGTGGTGCCTCAACTTACAAACTTAATTGGTTCCGTAACTCCGGTCATAACTCGAAATAGTCGTAGGTCGAAGCACCATTTCCCATAGGAATGCATTGAAATGCAATCCGTTCTGGCCAAAGAAAAAAATCACCACAAAAACCTGCAAGACCCATCGGAAACGTGATTAATCCATTCCGGCCAAAGGAAAAAAAGAAATGAAAAGCAAATAAACCATGCAAGACCGTTTGGAAATGCAAAAAAAAGCAAAGCAAAAAGCAAACAAACCGTGCAAGACCCATTGGAAACCCAATTAATCCGTTCTGGTCGAAGGGGAAAAAAAAAGAAAAGAAAAGAAACTGTGCAAGACCCTTCGGAAATGGGGGGGTGGACCCAAAAAGAAAACAAACCATGCAAGACCCTTTGGAAATGGGGGGGGGGAGGAGAAACTGAAAAAGCAAATAAATCCTGCAAGACCCATTGGAAACCAGAAAAAAACCCAAAAAACAAAGACTGCAAAACCCATCACAGAAACATAACCCCCCAGCCCAAAACCACACTGAAAAACCCACCCAGAACAGTTTTTAAAAAGCAGAAAGCAGCACCTTACCTTATCAGGCAGTACGAAGCCTCCTCCGATCGCATACACTCTAACCGCTGGGGTGAAAGAGCTACAAAGAAGCAGCCTCTTTGCCACCAATGGTTAGCAATTTGAATTCCCCGCCTTTTGTCTGTTCATAACTCGAAGTTCCGGTTGCAAGTAGAAGCAAAATTTTGCGGCGGGAGGTGGTTGTAACTCGAAATGGTTGTATGTCAGGACATTCGTAAGTCGAGGCATCACTACTGCGACCAGTGTCATTTCTCAATGCTTTCTGTCTCTCATTTTTAGGGGTTACAAGAACTGTAAGAAGACGTCATTGAGCTCCAGAGGTTCTACATCTTGTGTTCCTCCAGTCAAGCTAGGAATTGGGAAGAGGCCTGGAATTATGGCGCCACCAAAGCCCAAAAATAGACATTATCTTAAACCGGCCTACTCACTTTTGTAATTTTATTAAAGTCCTTTTTTCATTTCTATGAAAATTACTTATTTTGAACGTGCTAGTTTTGTTAACAAGCTGTATTTGTATTATACAACACATTCTTAAAGGTTTTAATAAATATGGACTGTTGGAGTCACAAACTTAGCAGGCTGATGGGCTTTGTGGTGATCACCAGATAATTAGGATAATAGAAAAGACGCTTTTTGTAACCATCTGTGTCAAAGTGTTCTAAATCTTTTTGAGTAATTCACAGCTTGCTGAGTTTCTAATCCTGCCCTGAATGTTTTTTATCTGAACAGCACTGGTGTTCTTGCCCTCTTCTCCCTCTCGACCTGGTCATTGATCCTACACAGGATAGGAGAGACACATCTCTAGTTTCTCTTCACCAAAATACCTTTTGAGCAGAATCTACCTGGAGTCTTCTGGGATCATTCTTCAGAAAGATTAATACAGTGGTGCCTCGCAAGACAAGCGCTTCGTTTTACGATGAAATCGCATAACAACGAAGTTTTTGCGATCACAAAAGCGATCGCAAAACGATGTTTCCTATGGGTTTTTTCGCTTTGCGATGATCGGTTCCCTGCTTCGCTAACCGATCATCGCAAAACGACGATTTTTGCACAGGTGATCGGTGATTTCAAAATGGCCGCCGGGTTGAAAAATGGCTGCCCGCTGTTTTCTGGGACGGATTCCTTGCTGCACAGGCAGCGAAAATGGCCGCGCTATGGAGGCTCTTCGCTGGACGGTGAGTTTCAAGTCCATAGGAACACATTAATCGGGTTTTAATGCGTTTTTATGGGCTTTTTAAAATCGCTTTACGATATTTTCGTTCTACATCGTAATGCGAGGCACCACTGTACCAAGTTCCTGCAGAGATAATGTCTACAAGTATAATTTCTATTCTGAACGAAAAGCTAGTAGGCGGAAGAAGGTTCCTTTTTCTTAAGGGCAGGAAAGTAGTGTCCTCTCTTCTAGAGCAGTGGGGACCATCCCCTCTATTCACCTGGCACATCTAGCCAGAGGTAAATGGCTCAAAACTCACCTTAGGTTGCCTGTAGTTGCCATTTCTTCTTTCCTCTTTGCCAGTTCTGCTTTACTGAAGTATGCTTTGTTTGAGATGAATGGAAAACCTTAAAAAAACAACAGCCAAGTAGGGAAGACGCTAAATAATCTGCTCCCAAGTCTAGGGCATGTCCCACCTGGGAGAAGTATAAAGAACTTTTGAGAGGGGAATAAAATCAGCTTCAACTAATTTCTGGAACTGGGGATCCTAGTACAGTGGTGTTTCACTTAATGAATGCCCCACATTACGATCGCAAAACAATGGTCTAAATGGGGGAATTTCACTCAGTGATGATTGGTTCCCTGCTTCGGGAACCACTTTTTGCTTTACGACAATCAAAAACAGCTGATCGTCGGGTTTTCAAAATGGCCACCAGTTGCTTAAAATAGCTCCCTGCTGTGTTTAGGGATGGATTTCTCACTATACAGGTAGTGAAAATGGCCGCTGTATGGAGGATCTTCGCTGGACGGTGAGTTTTTACCCCATTGGAACGCATTGAACGGTTTTCAGCGGGGTTTTTAATTTCGTTTTACAATGTTTTCGCTTAATGGCGATTTTCCTGGAACGGATTATCATCGTTAAGCGAGGCACCACTGTAATCCTAGAATTTATTAGGTTTCTGTATTCTTAAATTGCAAATTTTAAATTTTATTAGAGGTACATTGGACAATGAAAAGACAAATGGTGATGGTATAAGGGTTTCTCAAAAATTAAAGAGGATACTGATCTACCACCACCACCAAGTTACTTTAAAATGTGGACCAAGCTGGTCATTTTCACTGAAGTAGAAGAAAAATTAACATGTGAATTAACATGTGATTTCTGTTAATTTCTCTACCCAGGCGAAGGATGCTGTTTAGGCTGAGCATCTTCCAAAGCAGTACATTTCTGGGTGAGCCAACAAGCTCTCAAGCTAGCTGCCATTACAAAGAAAGTACCTTCTATAGAACTTGTACGGTGAAATCTCTAGAGGATGCAATATGTGTGGCAGAAGTGTACAGTCAAAATCGGGAGAGTACCTTCCTCTTTCCCAAAAGGCAACTGAAGACACTACTACAACTGCAATAGTCTTCCTTGTCACCCAAAGGTTACTGAAGTAGCATGTTAATATGATTCACTCCTCAAATAATTTACCACTAAGGCTGTGATTAGGGATGTGGTGGCGCTGCGGGTTAAACCTCAGAAGCCTCTGTGCTGCAAGTTTAGACCTGCAGTCGTAAGATCGAATCCACGTGACAGAGTGAGCCCCCATCACTTGTCCCAGCTCTCGCCAATCTAGCAGTCCAAAAGCATGCAAAATGTGAGTAGATAAATAGGTACCACCACGGTGGGAAGGTAACAGTGTTCCATGTCTAGTCGCGCTGGCCACGTGGCCACCGAAGATTGTCTTCAGACAAACGCTAGCTCTATGGATTGGAAACAGATGAGCACCACCCTCCTAGAGTCAGACACAAATGGACAAATTGTCAAGGGGAACCTTTACCTAAGGTTGTGATTAACTTCTCAGTCAGAAAGGACTGTTTCTCAGTCTGCAGGAAAGGAGTTATCCCTAAATGTATTACCACCGTGTCAGGCATGTGCCATGTGTCACAGAACCTCTCTTTTAGAGACTGAACGTCTGGCTCCTCTTCCAGTCTTAGGCTATAACTGGAAATCTTCATTTCCCAGCTTCTGCAGCAGTGCTTTTCTATTACAACATAAGGAAGCCTTTGTCAGGAAATCCTGTTTTCCCTAGTTTTCCCTAAGCACATTTGGAATTTTGAGATTTGGCTGCCCTCACAAAATGATTGCCATGGGAAGGCATGGCCAATCACATTAAACACATTTTGTAGAAAGCAAGCAATGGTACAGTGTGAGTTGTGGTGTGCACAAAAAGAATAAGCTTGCCCAGCTGGCTTTGGATTTTGCATCTCTTTCCCAGGCTTCATAGCCACAGATTTATTCTGGTAAGACTGTCCCTGCCATCAGTGGCTTCTATATGTGAAGAGACATACAGTGGTGCCTCGCAAGACAATGTTAATCCATTCTGCAGAAATTGCTGTCTTGCGAAAATATCGTCTTGTGAAACCAAATTTCCCATAGGAATGCATTGAAAATTAATTAATGCATTCCTAGGGGAATTTTTTTTTAAAAAAAAGGAACTTAAGGGGTAGGGAGCTGGGGAAGCACCATGCACCGTGGGAGGACTGGCAGGGGGTCCCCTCGCCGCAATCGCCGGCTTTGGAGGTCCCCCGCCAGCCCTCTGATGGTGCAGGAAAAGCCTCCGAAGTGCTGTAAAGTGGGCGCGGTTGGTTGTAGAGTGAAAAAGCCCCATTGGAACCATCGTTTTGCGATTGCTAAAGTGATTGACATGTTTGACTAGCAGAGGAACAGCAGTCTGTCTTTAGTCATGGCAAAATTGCTTCCTACACTTCACCGAAAGGGAAAAGGAGTCTTTGTCAAACAGAAATACATTTAAGACAGATATTGTGGGTTGAGGAACAGAGAAATGTGGCCTCTGGAAGTGGTCTGCCCCTGCTGTAGCCCAGCCAGATTGGTGATGCCAGCATTCCCTGCCCCTGCCTGAGAGGAATGGTCTGCCTCAGAGACTTCGGAGGTTGAAGGCAAGGCCTCCCTTCTCACCCAGGTGGTTTCTATTTCAGAGGCCTTTTTGTCCCACCAGCTAGGATTAATTATTACAACTTTGCCAACCAGAACATTTTTATTCTGTTTAGTCGTTTAGTCGTGTCCGACTCTTTGTGACCCCATGGACCAGAGCACACCAGGCCCTCCTGTCTTC